GAGTCTAGCTTTTGATGGTATATTCCAGTATTGTGTGAAGCTGGCATTCTCTCGACTCTGCACTGAGCAGCTGTAGGCAGCCTGTGCCGAGAATGGGATTTGGGGAAGCTAGTTGTCCTGCGACCCGTGAATTTTTTTTTTTTTTGTCTTCTGCTCTAGATTTCAAACACCTCATAACCAAATTTACCTACCTGTATTGTTGGCTGCTTTTATACTTACAGAACACTAGGGGGTGCTGTTGGGTCAGCATTTACCATTCAGGGCACAAATGTTTTGTATAAATATTCCAGGACCTGAATCTCTGTACTAAAGAGTGATTAGATATGGGCAAACCGTACAGCATAACAATGTAGGGAAGCCTCGTTAATACAAATCTCAGTTGCAAATCAAATATTGTTATTGTCTTCTCCTACTTAAAAATTTGTTTTTAAATTTAAATAGTTAACAGGAAAAGCTTCTTTTCCGTGTAATGCTTCTCTGGGATAAAACATTGAATGTGCCAAAAAAATGGTAGTGACAGTAAGGCAAGACTCCAGGAGAGAGAGATGATTGAGATTTTAAGAGAACATTTAATATATATATATATAAATAATTGCATTAAATATTTTCAGGGTATTTTTAAAAAGGTAACTATTTTGATACTATGAAAAACATGAAGTTCTTTTTTTTTAAAAAAAAATAAGTATGAGGTCTATGTACAATTTTAATAAAAGCCCATCAGTGAAACATGCAAATGGCTATCTGCATTATTCAAGTTTGGTACGTGATCTTGTTCCTGCTGCGTCAACTTGGCTCAATATTTATATTAGACCGTTGTACCTTGAGTTGTTTCTAAATTTTAAAATTCTTTTAATTAAAATGACTTGCTGTTTTACAAGAAGTAGAAAGCTCCTCAGGTCTTGCTCTCTAAGATCTCTTTCGTACTTATGAGGACCGGAGAGTCTAAGCCTGTCGGACCATCCTGTTCCTAAGAGCTTTGCATGCGCTTCAGTAGCGGTTCTTACAAATATCCTACCACTTACTGGGAAGCTGCTAGCCTGACCCTAGGCCTGGGGCCTGACATTGAGGTTACTGGTAAGTCTGTACCTAAACAGCCCTTTTTAAAGAAATACGTCCTTTCTGATGGGAACCATGTGCTCAAGATGCCTGACTCCAAAAATTCAGTTTTCCTCATTCATATTGCATGACTCATTGGTATGTCTCTGCTACTTTTGTTTTCTTAAAGAGAAAGAATGGGATCCCTTTTTCCCCGTACTGAGAAAGACTGCTTACTTTTGAGCAAGAGTTTTAAGATAGAAAGAACTGAGATAAGAAAGAGGAAGCAGGAGGAAGACCCAGCCACCTGAGCCATCCAGAAGGCATATGTATACCAGTAGAGCTGTGTGTTTGCATTTTAAAAGAAGTCCAGGTTCTCTTCCAGTCCTGACTGATGTATGCTCAGGAAGAATGGAAGACGTGGTTGTCTATGCCCTCTTGGGTTATGGGAGTCTAGGAGTCTTCCTGCTTTATTTGGGTCTTTCTCTTCAGTTGACTCTCATTTGTCATATTTAGCTTCCAGTGCTCTTCCAAGCACAGCCTCACTTTCTTTGTCCTCTAAGGGGTTGGGTATAACTCGGATGAGCACCTCCAGGCTTTTCTCCTATAAGGGCTCAACCTTTAGAATACCCTTGGAAATCGTGAGCAGGTCGCAAGTGTTAGCAGTGTTTCCATAATGCTCCATGACTTGGAGCATTTGCTGTAGGCTCTGAACTTGGAGGTTTAGAAAGAGGCAATTATACATACACACTGGTGAATATATCTGCCCTCATGGGTCTTCAACAAGGATGCTTTGAGGCCCCTTGGTAACCCCCTCCCTGAAGTCATTTCTCCCTCTAGAGTAACCTGGTAGGGAAGACTGACCCTGGTAGGGTAAGAATTCTGCCAGAATTGGGGCCTGGTTCCAACCTTGGCCATGCATTTGAGGCTACAGGCATCTGGTGAAGTGATGCCTACAGAGGAGGCATGGAAGAAATGCCTGGATGCTTTTTTTCCAATCAAAAATATGCCCCTGAGAATTTGTAAATTGAGGAAGGTTAAAAGCCATTGAGTCAGACAGGAGTATAGCCAGTGATTGGGCTAGCTCAGCGTGGCCAAAAGGGCCTCTCAGTCCTCTTCTAGAGGCCCAACTACTCTTCCTGGATCTATCTATCCTTGCTCCTGAGGCATGGTCACTGGTCTGATGATGATAGCTCACTCCTGACTCCCAAAATGTCCCCCAGGTCTGGGGCCCCTTTCTTTTATCCTCCACTCCTGCTCTCTTCCACTAGTGTAAGGAAGCATTTGCAAGGCTAGAATCTTGGGTTCAGAGGTCATATTGGTATCAGAAGCTCCAAGGACCCACAGGGTCAGAGGAGAAAGATTACCGAGGAGGAGATCTAGCAGTTATTTAATGACGGTTCTGGGAATCACTACGTCTTGCCTTCCAGATCAGATCAGCAGGATATCACATGTAGTGATCTGGCACAGCATTGTGTCCTGAGGGGTGGTCAGTTAATCAAGCACCTGCTGACCTGATTATGTATCCGAGCTGCAAAGGTAACGTTTAATGGTTGCAGCTAACATTTCTATAGCACTTCCTGTGTGGGCAAGAAGCTCTTCTAAACACTTTACAATATTAACTCTTTAGTTCATAATGAGTTATGAGGAAGATAAACAACTCTTCCTCAATCCTTTATCTCTGTTTTACAGACGAGGAAATTAAGGCACAGAGAGATTAAATAATTTGCCTAAGGTTACACAGATGGTAAGTAACAGAGTCAGGATTTAAACCTGGCTCTGGTGTTCATGCTCTGAATTACTAGAAATAGTAAGGCTGCCTCTCTGAAGGTATACAAGTAACCCTGTCAGTTGAAACCAAATTGCTGCTGGTATTCTCTGTTTATCAAAATGCAAAAAGATGCATTTGCCAGATCAATAGTTTCATTTTGAGTGCTAGGAGCTATACTTGTTTATTCCAGCAAGAGACTAGATCTGAGAAAGCCCCTGTAATTGGACTCGCTACTTGATTAAGTCTTTGACAGATGCAGTTATTCTCCAAGTCCCATGAACCTTTTGCACCAGATTTGAGAGCTAGTGGATGGGTGATAGGAATCAAGACACACAGAAGGCTTTAAGTCCTTGTGGCCTAATTTCTGATTTTTCCAGGTTTGCAGCTTTGCTTTGGACTGACTTTATTTATTGGGAAGGACTGCTCCAGCGACATCAGATTGATTTACCATAATTTACCCTATAAACATTTGAGGGCCTACTGAATAATAAACACTATTCAGGCTCTGGGAATGTAACAGTGTATAAGATAGGCATGGTTCCTGCTTTCAAGCCACTTATATTTAGTTGGAAGAGACAAAGAGCTAGTAAACATAACTAAGGTGATGTCAGGTAGTGGAAGTATTATAAAGTTAGCAAACAGGGTGTGGGATTAACTCCAACATAGCCCCTCCATGGACATGGGAGGCAAAGAGGACTGCTGGGTCAGCAGTCCCAAGGAGGACAATGAACAAAGCGTTCCCTGGGCTGTGCTTGCCCCCAAGGATACTTCCTGTTGCTCCCATGGGCACTATCTGCCCCTTTGGCCATTCCCATGGTCCAGTCCTACCCAACACAGGCTCTCATTCCTGGGGAAGACCCTTGTTCCCTGGGACGAGGCAATCCCTCTCCCCTCTGCTCGGAAATAAAACAATACCTGCTCTTGGCCGGCTGCCTTTTCCTGCAGCTCCAACTGACCAAGTGCTGAAGCCTAGCTGTACTGGAATAAATGGTGGCCCTCCTGGTGTTTTTTTTCTAAGTTCCAGGTGCAGCTTCCTGGCCTGGAGTTTCTGTGATACACAGGGTAATGTGAAACTTGGCCAGGGGAAACCAAAGGGGCATTCCGCTACTTACTGAGTCAAATAGACCATTAAACACTCAGAATGTAGAAATATTCTCAGAAAGGGCCTAGTTTCCACTAAGCCAGCCAAGATATAAAACTGAATTAGAACTCTGTTTATCACCAGGTCACCATACACCACAAGGCAGCTTGACAAAGGCCGGTGGTGGTTTGAGTTCCTTGGGTTAGTGTTAGCGCAGGCAAATGGCTGCAGTATCTTTTGGGAATGGCTGAGACAGAGGGTTATGGGACAGACATGATATCAGACAGAGCAGGATTTTTCCACAGTGGGACCCAATCATCCTACCATTTAAGGGGTCTGAATTTGTGAACTGACTCAGGTCAGGGAATTGGTTAAAAGTCAAGACTCTTAAATGTAAGTCAGAGTTCTAATTTTCCACAGCTGGAGAATTTTTGGTTATTCCAACTAATTAAGACCTGAGTAGCCTGCCTGATGATTTGTTTACTGGAAAGCCTAAGCCATAGCCAGCATCTTTAACATGTCATACCATCCCTGGAGACCTGATGACATGACTGTCCATTTTACCTTTGATGGCTAATTGACATTACCTGGGCTTGGCCACTTGGGGCTTCTCTCATTATCACCAAAATCAAGGTCTTCATTTGAACAGAAGCCCTGTCCAGCAGCATTTCTACTTAAATCAAACACAGCCATTAAAGATCTGTTGCTTGCTTACGTCACTCATCTGCTACCCAAGGCAAGGTAGAAAAGTTTTGTCTCTGTTGGGGGACATGCAAAGTGGTGGATGGATAGTACACATAGGAAAGAGCCACACCTCTTCTTGTCTCCTGAAGTCTGGATTCCTTCCCTTTTATTGGTATCTTTGAATTTCATTTCTTTATGACAATAATTATGTCTGGGTTGTATTAGCCAGACCAGCAACCTGTCCTTCACAGTCCAGTTTTCCCCACATGATGAGGAAAGCATTACCAACATCTCCATGATCATCCTTGAAAGTTATATCCAGGGCTTCAAGCCAGAGGTAATTTTAAACTCGATCTCTCTGGGTGAATCTTAATTTAATGTTTCTTTTAGAAACATAGCTCCCTGTTCCTCAAACTTTATTTTATTTTCTGAGAAGTACGGAAAGTTTCAGAGGGAAAAAAACCTAACACCCTCTTTTGAAAGTAACATTCAAGGTAAACTGAACAAATTTTGAGGCATTTACTATTTATTGCTGGGTTCCTGCAAGCTTGATCAGTCCTTCAAACAATCCCCCTCTCAAAGTTCTACCTGAATAAACAATATAAAAAAGGGTCTCTAATGAAAGTCTTACTCTGAATAAGTTAAGAAGCTGTGTGCAATCACTGCATTAATGGGGGGAACAGGTTACTCACACTGACTTCCAAATCCTTGTTGTACATGTTGTACAGAAGAGGCTTTCTTTAGATGGACACCAGCCTATGGCAAATTAACTCCACAAAAGAAGCACACCAAAGTGGTCAGAGAAATGCTGGGTGTGAACTGCACTAATTCTTCCATGCCAGCTTTAAAACCAGGCAAGAGAGAATTACAAATAGTCCCTAAGAACAATCCATTTTTGTTTTTCTATAGCTAAATTCTCTAATATCTTCCCTACCTACAGATATATTTTATTATGCCATAGATTAATCTTTCATCTACATGGTCCTTGTGGTCCCTAGGATATCCCCAAAGGCATCCTCAGTTAGTAAAACTTGGTGTGACATCATGATGACACCACAATAGAGCCTGGTGCTATTGTTCCTGAAAGTTTCTGTGTCCACACATTTCCTGCAAAGGAAAACATCAGGATTGAACACGGACATACATGGTGTGGTCAAGGACAAAGACAGAGGCTCTGTGACTTCACAGGATGGAAGATGGAAGTCAAGGGTAATTATATTCCTCAGATTAGGGCACTTTTGCAATTCTTATGTGGAGAACACAAGAATTTGGGAGGATTGAAGGATGACCTGAGAAAAAAATTCTATGAATGTAGTGAACATGGTCTTAGTACCCTTGGGAGACTGAGGTGGAGCCCCACAGAGCTGAGTTTCATCGGGCATTTTGGGGAGACCTAATCTGGGATTGTGTACACAGATCCTCAGCTCCTTCTGTCTAAACTTTGGGTCTAAAGGGAAGGATTTTTGAGGTCTTGATTGGCATGGGCTTTGGATAACCTCATGCCTGACCTAATGGTATCACTCTAATTCCTCTTGCCACAGGGATTCATCTTGAACTGGAGGCAAGAACCTGGGTAAAGACTGTCATTAAGTAGCTGAATGACTTTAGTGAAGTTGCTTCATCTCTCTGGTCTTCCCTTTCCTCATCTGTAGGTTGATATTGGACCACGTCCCCTCTCAACTCCTCTCCAGACCCAAGTCTTTAGTTATTGAATCACACGGTCATTAAAGGACCAGAGTCTGGAGCTAGATTGCACAGGTTCAAAGCCTTCTCTGTAGCTGTCTAGCTGTCTGAGTTTAGGCAAGTTACTTGAGCTCCTCTGTGCCTTGCTTTTCTTATCTATGAAGTGGGGATAATAATAGGACCCGATTAATAGGATTACTGAGAGTATTAAATGAGTTAATTAGCAGACATTAGTTATCACTATTACCGAGGCTTAGTGACCTGTCCGTAGAATATTCGAGTCAGTCAAGTCAGTCATGAATGCTAAAAGTCATTCCAGTTCTTGGAACAGTTGCTTTGGTTTGGGGCTTGTGGATTGGGTATCATAGGGTGACATAAGGTAGATCCTTAGAGGGCTAGGGAGTTGCATTCATAGGAAGCTGGGAAAATACCTTTGTTGACATGCAATTGATTCTAAAGGTTTAAAAGATCTTCTATTTCATGACCTTACAAGAAATGGACCAAAGGTTATCCACTCCATTTTTAGAGATCCTTTAACTTCATCTATACACTGTTCAGACCATTTAGGAGCTGTATTTATTCTTGTCCATGGCTGAACCCAAGTGTCTCCTACCCAGGGCATGTTCTGAACTTACATTTTGACAAGTCAACAAGCAATTCTGTAAAAAATGTTCTCGTCATAGTTGACATAAATTATTCAAATACACTGTGAATGGTGGTGGTGTGGTGGCTGGTGTGGAACTGGTCTAGGTGTTTTTAAAGGTCCCTCTGTAACTCTGAGATTCTATCATTTCAGGGCAAAGGAACAAAAACCTGACTCCCTAAAGAAGCTGCATTAATATAAATCCTTTTACATGCATGTCATGGATACTCAACTCAAACCAGTTTAAGGTCAAAAGTGAGTTTATTAACTCACATAACTGAAAAGTCAAGGGGAAGCATTAACTACAGTCATGGCTGAATTGAGTCTCAAATGACTATATTAGGATTCAGTTTTTCTCTATGTCTTGGCTCTAATTTTTTGTTGACTTCACGTTCAAGCACCTTTCCCTCCGCTCTGTGGTAGCAAAGGAGTTCTAGACATGTATGCTAGCCAGTGTTGCTTCTTTTCAAATAATTCTAGCCAGCCTCAGAAATCTCTCTAACAGGCTTTATTTGACTTGAATGACACATTCGTGCCTGGAGCATCACTATGGCAAGGGAGTATAAGAGAGAAAAACCTTTTCTTTCTTCCCTTCTAGGTTCTTTTGCTGGCCTAATAATTAAATTGATACAAAACAGATTAACAGAAGGAAAACAAATTTAATTTCATATGTACAGGAGCTCAAAATATATGATACTCAAAAACGTGACCAAAGCAGGCAACTTTTATACCTTTTAGGTAAAAAAACAATAAATTTGAGAATATTTGACAAGACAAAGGGGGTTTGGGTTAAGAGTAGTAAACCAGTAAAAGAGTAATAAGGTTTTTTTTCTATAGCCTTCTTGGCCATAACTTTTCTATCTTTGATGATAAAGATGCCTTTTATCCTCCTGGTACATGGAGGGTAACTTTTACATGAGAGATTTGTCTCCTGCTTTTAGGGGGACAAAGGAGGTGCAGAGTGTTCTTTTTGTACTAGCTTTTAAAGTTTATTAAGAAACTTTAATTCAAAATTATTAATACAGCAAAGTGCTCTATTTTGATGTGGCATATCCTGCTCCCCCTCAGGGACCTGTCACACACTCATTTCTCAGCCCTAGGCCACAAATCCATCTTTGGAACCTGGGGGTACAGTCTGCTCCAGCCAGACTATGAGACTGAGAAGAAAATTCCACTGCCCAGAAAAAAGACATAAGTGCTCTTTCCAGAAGATGAAACTGCTCTTTCCAAAATAGCAAATGTCTGCTATTATAGCCACTAGAACTATAATTCTTATTCCATTTAGCTTCCACCTGTGCTAACATTTCTGTTCATTCTCACATCTTACCTTTTTCTTTTTCCCTTCTTCTCTTTCCTTTGCTCATTTATCTAGGACCCTCCATTTTGTCCATTCAGTAGATGAAGAGTCCCAACTGGTATTAAAATATTGAAAAAAAGAAAACTCCCCCTTTCACGAAGGTCATATAAGAAAACTCCCCCTTTCACGAAGGTACTCTGAGCTATGTCTTTGGTAGCGATGCTTTTTTTCCCCTTACCCTGGATAGTGGCTGCAAATGGAGTAGTAAAAGTGATTGATGGCTTTTTAATAGAAGTTCTAAGTCCATATACAGGCTTAGCAATTAATTATATAGCTGTGTGGCAAGTAAACTGATGTCTTTGGGCCTTGGTTTGTTCATTGATGTAACAGGAACTCTGCAATGGTTTGCTGTGGCTCGCTGACACAGCTCCTGAGAGCCCATTGTTAAATATTCAGGAATTTCATCAGTCATTGGCATGTTCAAATCTGCCATGGTGGAATTATTTACAGCATAGAAATTAGGAAATGATGGTGTGGAGAGAGAGAAGACCCCTTCTCTCAGCTCATTCCCGAAAGGAAGAATTACTAATTTGATTCAGCTGGATTCCAAGACACACATCTATTAGAGGGCAAATAATTGTGTTTCCAAAATTCCCATGGATCTGTTTGTTTTCTTTAGCTTCCAGCCGCCATAGGCATAGGTTGATCAATAGCAGGCCTAACCATATGATTATTTCTATTTTTGAAAGGCCTTAGAAAGTAAATTGCTATCACTATCACTGTCATCACCACCAACTAGCACTTGCTGCCACCTGCCAGGACCTGCTAGAAGGGCTTTGCATAAATTAACTTACTTACTCTTTAAACATTCCTATAAATGATATTGTAGTCTCCATTTTTCGAGTGTAGAGACTGAGACAAAGACAGTGTAAATACTTAGTTTGGATCATATTTGACCATTTTTGACCCACTAAAATGGAAGTTTCATGTGGTTCAACCTAACATCTTGACAGAGGTCACCGCCTGGTTGTAGAAGAGCCAGAATCTGCTCTCCACAAAAGCACTCAAACCAAATGGCTAACAGATATCACGAAAGGAAAAAAATGAAGAACAATGAATTTCATAATTTACACCGTCTTAAATAGAGATAAAAGTCAGTTAGAAATTTAAAATATATGTTAAATAAGGATTACTGAATCGGAAGTGATATAAACAATGAAAAACCAAGTAAGAAATTGAATGTAAATATTTTAAATGATCTCAACAAAGTTGATACCCCAGAGGTAGACATCCAGGCAAGAAGGCAAAGTGCAAGTCTGGAAGCAGGGAAAACTCCTGTGCTTCTCGCTGTCTTTACTCTCCCTGAGGGTGATCTTCGAGTTTAGTCATTTTAATGTGTGGCTCTTTTCAGTTTGCTTTCAGTGAATAGTCAATGCAACCTCAGCCAGGCTTCCAGATGAGAGAAGGGCTATGAGGCTGTTTCCAGGCTGGAAGGGCCACTTTCAAAGAATACTTCATTCACCACTCTCGTCAAAACCCTCTATTTTATTTTGTAGTTGTTTTTTAATTATATGTGACCATACTATAGTTTTTGTTTTGCTACTTCTTTTTTTTAATTTGAAATTTACTCTATCTATCTATCTATCTATCTATCTATCTATCTATCTATCTATCTATCTATCTAATCTATCTGTCTGTCTGTCTCTCTGTCTGTCTATCATCTATCTGTTAAATTTATTGAGTTATAATTGACATGTAACATTGTATAAGTTTAGATATACAATGTGTTAATTTGATACATTTATATGTTGCAGTATGATTACCACCTTAGCGCTAGCTAACACCTCTATCACATAATTATTTTCTTTTTTTTTTGTGTGATGGGATGAGTTAGATCTTGTTTCTTAGCAACTTTGAAGTTTATAATACAGTATTGTTGTCTATAGCAACTATGCTGTGCCTTAGATCACTTGGAAGTTTGCTCTCATACTTGCTTTCTTTTTTAACTGAAGTTTTTGGAGCTTTTTCCATCTCTAACTATAGAGATAGGTCTGCCCCATTCTTTTGGAGCTTTTTCCATCTCTAACTATAGAGATAGGTCTGCCCCATTCTTTTTGAATGCTGCTTATAGCTTATTAATGCAAATATGTCACAACTTAACTTAGGAGCATTTAGATTGTTTCTAAAATTTTGCTATTAAAAGCAATGATGCCTGAAAATGAAATGATATCCTGAATGATATCATAAATCAGTATAACAAGTAGTTTGTTTCTATATACTACTTGTTATACTGATTTATGTTCTGATGTGAAGGAATTTGCATACTTTTTTAATGGAGAAAAAGAGTAGTTAGTGGTAGAGCATTAAGAGAGCTTCTTTGGGTTGTGGCCTGCCTTTCCTTAGGTGATGACTATTGAAATGTGTTATTAGCCTTATATTTTTTCCTAATTTTTGCCATTGGTGAATCACTCGAGCTAGATATCAATGATACGCTTTTTAGAATGGCATACTTCTGCTTGGGTGTTACTTTCCCATTCTCCCATGTGCTGTTCCATCAGACCACTGTATCCTACAGTAGATATTCTTTACAACTGCCTCTGAAAGGTGACCCCATCTCTTCATTTTACTTTTAGGAGATGAAGACAATGGGCACGACACCTCAAACAGAAGTACCTACATGGACCCGGAGGAAGACCTCAGACCCTCAGCTTCCTCTGTAATAGGGTGAGACACCTTCTGAGGAAGCTTTTATAAAAGAAGTGAAGCATTACTTTGAGATTCTTCTGAAGATAAAGAAAGCTCAGAGTAAAGCTTTTCTTTTAGGTACAGGGAAGAGGATCGTGCTGTGAGAAAAAAGAACCAGAGTTTAGAGATAGCACTGAGGGGACTGAGAAACATCCCAGGAGAGGTTGAACCAAAGACTTGACAGGTCTGAGTTCTAGTCCCAGTCATTGCACTGACTGCAGTGATTTTAAGCACGTCACCTCGTTGGGTTTATTTTGATTATATGCAAAATGCAGAAAGAGACTCTTGAAACTCTAAGGGTCTCTCCAGCTCTGATAATTCTTTGACTGCATTAGATCAATAGTGATTCCAGAGCTGGACTTTCTGGAGGAAATGACCAGGTTCATTATTTAGTAGATGCGTGATTAGGACAAATTCCAAATTGTAATGAGACTGAAGGGGTTCAGAACTAGCCTCCCTAAGATGTGCTACTTTGACATGTGAATTTTTGGAGCTGAAAGCCGTTGAGACCCTGTGGGCGCAAGAGAAACTTTTACTCCTTCCTTAAAGAATTTAAATTTGGGGCCTTGCTCATAATAGAGTTCTTATCAGAGATAACTTTTTATGACCTATGTATATGGTGAGGCAAACATATAACTACTGAGCATCTGCTTTTCTTATCATCCTGCAGATGACATTCTTCCCCTCTGAAGCTTTAAAGCATCGTACTTCATCTTTAGCTCAGAATGTCATATATACATATATAACTTTTGGTCTCTGACTCTCTCATGTATGTGGGGGTCTCTGACTCTAATGTATATGGGGTTTCCATATGTACATATAGCATTAAATTGGGTTATTTTCTCTTGTTATTTCTCATGTCAATTTGATTATCAGACAATTTGATTACTACCCTAGAAGGGTAAGATAAAATTTCTTTCCTCCCACAGGGTCGATAATAGAGCATACTTCACTGAGTTATTATGAGCATTATGCTCATTTGAAATATTCATAATAGTGCCTAGCACATAAAAATGCTCCATAAATGTTCATTTTTATTATGTCTATTCCCTTCTCATGGAGGAAAGATGTTTAAATCCTAAAGGAAGATTTAGAAATAATGTGGAACAAAGGCAAACGTTTCTTCTGGGAAAAAAGTCACTTCGGCATGTGAATTATTTTGAACTGAAAGCAATTGAGAAAATTTTGAGCAAATTCTCTTATATGAAGAGCACCTAGAAAGTACTTAATTTTCTCTTAAAATTGTGAGAGATCTCCTATTCAGCTATGATATATTTCCCCCATCAGGACTCTGGCTCTCCAAAGAGAAAAGAAGACCACTCCTCAATTTACTACCGTCTATGTGGAGGCTATATTTTCTGCCAGGTCCCAGAGTGGCAAAGAGAAAGGTGGGACCATTTTCTTTTTACTTCTTTTCTTGGTCCTTGAACTTGTTGTCCAGTGTATAGTGAAAGTTCAATCAGGAGACAGAAACCAGGAATTTGAACAAGTTTAATATAAAGAGATATACTCTATGAACTATAGCATGACTGCAGTATTGAGGAAGTGGCTCATAAAAGTAAAGAGAACTCTAAAGAAAATAGAAGTAGGAGATAGAAGAAGCAGTCTCTATCTCTAGGACTGAGATAGAACATTTAAAGAAGAGCCTCCATCCTCTAGGACTGAGATGCTGACCTGAGAACCCAGCACAGATCTGGCTCACTGAATGGTAGAGGTGTTGTGTGGTGTTACCTTGGCAACATTTGCTAAAAATTTCCCTCTAGGGTATTGGGCAAAGCTGTTCATAGAAGGTGTCTTCTAGGAGGCACTCTAAAATATACCCCAAAGCGGGTACTAAGGAAGCTTCTGGATGTTGGGTGCTGCTGGATGCTATGCATTGCAGGAGCTGGGCACTGGGAAACCCACCTGTACTGCAGGAGCTGGAAACTGGGAAAGCCAAGCGCATACAACAGGAGACTGCTGAGAGAAGCACCCAGAACTAGGACAAAAACCCCTTTCTGCAACATTTCTCCAGTGCTCTCTATGACAAAGCTTAGCATCATATCAGCTGGAAAGAGGAAAAATATTTATAGGTCCAGATCCATTTTCACAGGGCAGACAGTGAATTAAGCATGAATTAGAAAGTACCAACTGATACAAATCGATTTTTTCTATTCCCATTTTATGTATGAATAGGCTACCTCATCATGGGTCTCACCTTTATGTAGGATGCTCAAGTTCTATGCCCTTCCGCCAACCTTCCAGAGGTATAGGAAGATCTCCTATAGCATAAAACACCAACCATTTTTTAGTTCTAAGACTCCTTTGAGTTGTTTAGTTCCTGCTCACTTCTGATTTTGAATTTCTCTCTATTACTGGAACCTATGAAGAGTACTTTCTTAATTTTTAACTATTTGAATATAATAATATCTTATAACTTTTACTGTTTTATTTTATGTCTGAAATCAGGAGGAGAAGTTCTTTATCTCAATTCAGTCTGCCATGTTAACTGGAAGTTGACCCAGAAGTATTAGGCACTACAGAAAAATAAACATATAAACAGAGCTGAGGAAAGGATATTTTAAACTTTAATTTACAAAAATTTTTGTAAATACAAAAACAGATAGGATCATTTCTCAGCATTCTATTGTAGGCCAGATAAATTTATAGTCTGAATGGGCCTAGAGATTTCTTAAACAAGTGGCTATCCAAATTGTTTTTGCAAAAAGGGGGAAAAACCCTTACATTGTCTATAAGCTCTTTATTGTTTTTCATTAACCATTTCTTCAATTATAACTAATGTAAGACGACCACGGTAAAAATTTTTAAGTAGTGCGGAAGAGGAAAATAGACCTCTTAACATTTTCCTTCAAAAATTTTAAATATGCAAAAAGGTTGAAAAAATAAATGTATGTAATGAACATTATATATCCCCCACCTAGATTGATTAATCGATAACATATTGCCAGTTTGCTTTATTTCTCTCTGTAGGCATATACATATATGCAAACACACTTTTAAATAGGAAAGTAGAAGGATCTTTGGAGTGAGAGATGTCTCTAGATCTTTCCTCTTGAAACAACAATAAGCTGAACATCTAAAACTCAACAAAAAACACCCAAACTGCACACCAGCACGTCTGAGCATGGGATCTGCACATAAGAGCTACCACAGGTCAGAACCCCGGGTGTCCGGCAGTGGACTGGGAGAAATAAAGAAGCTGCCTGCAGGAGGAGGGGGGAGGGGAGAAAGAGCGGTGAGTTCCCTGAACAGCCCTGCCTGGGAGTGGCCTGGAAAAGCTGTGAGCTCCCCACCGCTGGCCGGCGGCAGGGCCCAGTCATCAGGGCAGAAAGCAGAGAAGTGGGATGGGATCACAGAGAAACAATAATTGATTTTTGCCAGCCGCAGTTGCAAAACCGAGGCGGAGCTGCAGCCTCTAACTCCCAATCCAGAGGGCCCTTCCCCCATACCCTCTGAGACCGATCACTGTGGAGCCCCAGGGGAATCTTGAACAAACACTGCCGAGACAGCTCACTAACACCGACAGGGACTGAAACTGAGGGCAGCAAGTCCACCTACTGCAAAAGAAAAGCACCTTCTTTGCAGCAGGCTAAAGAGAGACCTTTATATAATAAATCTTCTTTCTGGAAAAACAGCAGAATACACTTCCATTCCATTCCAGGTGGAGAAATAGCCCATTAAACACCATGAACAACCAAGGCGACAAGGCATCTCAGAAAGAAAGAGAAAAATCTCCAGAAAATAAGCTTACAGACCTAGAAATATGTGATTTAAATGACAGAGAATTCAGGATGATACTTTTGAAAAAACTCAATGAGATAGAAAACAAATCATATCAACAATTTCAGGAATTGCAAAAACAACTAGATGAGCAGAGCAAGGAGATTAAAACTCTCAAGAACAGAATAGATATTCTGGAGATAAAAAAGACATTGCAAGAGTTGAGAAATGAAATAGCAAGCTTGGGAAATAG